GAGTACTAGTTTGCATTTTTTCTTCTCTTCTTTCTGCATTAACTAAGAACTCTACTTTGTCCAGAGAAGGTGATCCAAAAATGAAATTATTTTCACTAAATACCCTGCCAAGTAAAGTCAGAACTATTACTATCAATTTCATCACACAAAGTGTACTACTAAGTCCAGGGGAAAGATGAGAAAAATTAAGTTTGCTTTACAGATTCATACTACGCAACCAAATAAACAAGTTAATTTTTTTCCCCTTTATTTACTCGTTTTCATAGACTATTGTCTATTAAAAAAGTATTGGTAATAGATCAGTGCACCTTGAATTGAATCGAATTGATAATTTCCGAGCTCATGCTTTACATAAAGATGTCTTCCCGGTCCCAGGAGGTCCATGTAACAGAATTATGCTGCAAATATTCAGAAGTCTCAAAAATATCAAACTACATTCATGGTTCAATCATCTCACTCAAGTAATCTAAGTTTATAGATCAACTTCCTTTTATTGCTTCTCCAATCACTTTTACTCGAACAGCATTAAAATTGGATAAAAAAGCAGATAAGAAACATGCTTTTCTTTAACTTTTTTCTATATAGAAAATAACCTAAATGATATTATTTGGTTCTTAATTGTTCACTCTCAGCATAGCCCGAGTCTAAAAAGAGAAAGAAAAATTATAAGCCCACCATCAGAATGTTCTTGCTCACCTTCCTTTGTTATAATTTTTTCAGTCCTTTTGTTAGTTTCTAAGGTTTGCAAAGAATTCAATAGATTATGACAATTTTGTTTATCGTTCCATACGCTGTTAACTTTTTCTCTTCAAGGACTTGAAAGCAAGTCTCTAAACAAATGTGAAGCTCAATCAATAGTTACAGAGTTTTTCAGATGTCCAGAAACCAAAGTTTGTTTAGCAAATCATGAAGAACCATTATGCATATTGTCTGCCAAGTAGGATCATGCATGCAATTGTAAAACAAATATTTCAAGTTCTTAGGGATTCCATGAAACAAGGAATGGATCAACACCTTTTTCAATAACGCTCATAACTTATGCTTTAGACCAGATTCATATATTAAGCTGCAAAGACAATGGTTAATAGTGCAGGGCAAATGATTTAACATTTTATAAATTGAACTTTATTTCAACTCATGTTTACTTAATAAATAAATTTGATCGACTAAAATTAACGATAATTTTTCCTTAATTGCACAAATAATATATTAATTTTTTAAAATTTAAAAAATGTTATTTACTATTGATTTTGCAATCATAATTAGACACTTTTTGCCTTCAATCAACCCCTATATAATTTATCATAAATATAAAATATAATTTATACATTTTAAAATATATATATATATATATATTTTAAATATAATTTATATATATTATATATATATTACAAATTTTAATTATATTATATATAATAAACATGTTTATGCATTGTATATAGACTAAAATGCTAGTTATAAAATAAAATAAAAAAATAATAAATCTTCCTATTTAAAAATTAAGGGGGTGTATTGGATTAGGATTTTAAATGAATTTTTTAGTTAAAGAAAATCTTGCGAATTTTAAAAGACTTTGCAAGATTTTCATGACTTTTAAGATTTTGTAGGATTCTACAAGACTTTAATTCAGAATTTTAATGAATTCTGCAAGACTTTTAAATTAGGATTTTAATGGATTTTACGAGACTTTGTGAATTTTGTAGAATTTTCGTAGATTTTTGACATATGATAAGATTTCAAAAAAAATTTTCATACATTCATATTTAAAAAGAGTCAAAGACAAAAATAAAAATAAAAATAAAAAATAACAATGTCTAAATAAATAATAATAATAATAATTCTCCATAATATCAAATCCTCTTAAATAACATTCACCTACATATTCATGGCTATACTAGTCCTCCAAGCATTAACGTCTTCTCGCTCTTGCTCCTGAGTTTGAATAATAAGCTCAAAAGTATAATTTTCATTAACCGATAATGTTTAAGATGAATGATCAAATACCTTGGCCATTATAAAAAACATGTAAAAATGGAAATAGAGAAACATAAGATAATTTTTTATATAAAAAAATCAATACATTCGATACTGAGAAAATATTTAGATATATAAATTTTTTTATATAAACGGAAGTATTTAGATATAGAGAAAATATTTATATATATATTAGTATTTTAGTTATATATTATATGATAATTTTTTAACAATATTTATAAATGTAAATTATTCTAATAAATATTTTAACAATATTTCCTTTTTTTTAAATAAGTTAATG